GAAAAAAAAAAAAAAACCAAATAACATGTATACATACATACGTATGCATCCCCGACACCCTGGCCAGGTGATCGGCACGCGTCAAACGCACAATCCTTAAGTTTAGGAGTAAGCCGAACCCAGAGATTAATGTTTCGCACCTAAAGGTCCCGTGTTCGGATGGGATAGTCAGCCGACCCAGAGAAGTCAATCTTTCACAGCCCATGTCCGAACCGGCACCAAAGGAGGTAAGCCGAGTCCAAAGATATATCTCGCCCTCCGACAAAGTACACTCTACTCGAGGAAAAAAATTCCTCACTTCGGAGCCCAGAGATATCTCCAAATATATTTAAACTGTGGCGAATCATGAAATTGTAAGCCGGGAGACGTCCCGCCAAGGCATGAAATCCCCATTTAAATTAAAACGCCTAGAAACACGGCTCGTATTATTTGAAATCGGATGCGACGGTTCAATAGCATTACGACAAAATAAAATTACATCGGCAGAAAATCATAAAATAAAAAGCACAAATCGCCTAGTCCACGATCAACGGACCCTTCGCCCCAGTAGCGGCGACCTGACGCGTGTCATGTAGAAGGCGACTCGGCATTGGCCAAAGCAGCTGCATACCAGTTCGCTCCCAATCAGTTGGATCCGTCTCCAATGCCCGAGCCTTCTGCTCCGCCTCGTCGAGCCTGAGAATCGCTTTCCTTCTTTTCGATTTTAACCTGGCAATTTCTTCTTCCAGCTCGTCCAAACGGAGGTCGATCTTTCTTTTTTTCAGACGAAAGAATTGCAGATCCCTGCACTGTTCTTGATAGAGGCCTCCGACCTAACAAAAAACAAAAGACAGTTGTTTAGATCCCCCAAAAATAGGATGCCAACGTCCTCATAAACGGAACGGTACCGATACCTTCTTAACAAACGCCTCGGCCTCGTCTAATTCGGCTTTACTGGCCAGGGTGCCTATGAGAAATGCCTTCACACCCGACGGTGTAAATTCGAGGCATCGTGGGATCCCTAGGATGGGTGGTGCATTCCGGTTAGCTTCAACATCCCGCATACATTGCTCGCAGTAGGCGTAAAGGCTTGTTGGCATCGGAGCTATGCGCCCAAACCCAAAGGGAATCCAGTTTCTCGGGTGAGATTCCAGTAGTTTCAACTTATGATCGAAGGGCGATCTAATCTCATCAACAATGAGAAATTGTTTAAAATACTGCGTACGCTTACATACACAGCCTGGAAGAACTCCTCTAACCGGAGTTTCTCTTGTCGAGTAACTCGCGACATCAAAGTTCTAGGAACCCTTAACGTCGAGAACAAGGGCATCCCACGATCAAGCGCTTCTTTCTTAGTGAAAGTTGGCGTATCAACACCGGCGGACGGAGATGATCCATCGCTTTTAGTCAAACCAGATTTCTCCATGATACCAGTTGTGAGAAGAAGGGGGCGCAAGTTTAAACTAAGGATGTCTTGGAAAACCATCGGCCAGGCAGCCTATTTATACCTAGCACCCCCGCCTTTTACCGGAGTAAAACTGGCAATTGGGGTAACACTATATTGGAAAATCACCAATTTCAAGCTAGAGAAGAAGCATATTTCCATTTCTGCGAATAAGGAAAATAAGAAGGAAAAAGCAATATTTCCACTTTTCGGCTGAAGTAAGCGCAAGCTGCTATAAAGGCAAAATCCCAAAAAATATTATTACAGCCGAGCTCGCGGTCCATTTAAGTTCAAACAAAGGGGAAAACAAATAAAAATAAAAGCCAGATAAATCAGACGACATTCACATCGTCTTCAGGATTGCCCATCTCGGAAGGAGGATCGCCGTTGCCATCGGAGGACCGGAGATCGGCTTGGAAGGCCACCGCATTTGACCCATGCGGGTCTCGGATTGATCTGGGAGCAGGATCCTCAGGACGAAGGAGGCCGTAGCCGAGCTGGTCCGGAGACATGTTCAGGTCGACCGGTTCCAGGACGAGGTAGTCTAAAGCATCAACAACCTCTTGGCATTCGACCTTCTTCGCCTTAAACTTGGCGATCTCCTCCTCGGGAATTTGAACATGGCACTCCTTGACGAGCCTGTCGATCGTGGCCTCAACCCCAAGAGCCTGGTTCAGCAGATCTTCCTTCGGACGAACGGCGACCTCTTGCTCGGCCAAGAACGCCTTCACCCGATCCAGGCGCTCTTGGGCTTTTTTCCTTGTTCGCTCCACCACGGCCTGCCGGTCTAAGCGAAGTCGCCAGCATTCGGAGTCGCAAAATTGCTGAAGGGACTGAAGGTCGCCTTCGGCTTTCGCCTTCTCAGCCGCAAGAGTCGCATTCTCGTCCCGCAGGTTGGCAATTTTATCCTCTAAGGAAGCGACGACTCCCACGTGAACCTTGGCCTGTTCCTCCAAGCCTCCCATTTGCTTCCGCAGCATGGCCACTTTGTCCTGGGCCTCTTTGACGCATTTCTCCATCATCAAGAAGGCATGATTCGCCGTCGAGTGCGACTTCACCCTCTTTTCATATTTGAAGAAGAGAGCGTTGCCATTGGCGATCGACTAGAGGAAGGACAAAATGGTGTTAAAATATGCACGAAATATAAAGGACAGGTATAAGGGAGTGATAAACAAACCTGCAACGCGGATCGGGTATAGTTCAGATAGTCCTCCTTGAACTTCAGCGCGTCGAGATCGGGCAGAATTTCCGAAGAAAATTTTAAATTTCGGCATAATTCTGCCGAGGCATAACGATCACCGGCCACGGAGCTTTCTCCGAAGTAGTCAAAGCAGAATTTGTCTGTTTTCGAATCCTTCCGAGTTACTCGGAAAGGATCAGAAGACTCTAGATCTGCTGCTTCGGCCGACCTCTTACGGCTAGATTGGTTGCCAGAGTCCAGAGCCACGCCCTTGCCTTTGTCGACTTTCTTCTTCTTTTTCTTCCTCCCGGCCGCGTCCCCTTCGGACAGAGCGACCTCTTGCTCGGCGGCTACGACCTCTTGCCCGGGAACCTCGACCTCGTCACCACCGCTGACTTCCAGGTCCACGACCGGAGGATCAGTAGGGGCAATCTCTCCTCCGGTAGCCGATTCAACTACGGCGACCTCCATAGCCGTTGTTGTTGGTGCAGCAAGCTCCGCGTCCTGAGCCTGGAGGGCAGTTACCGAAGTACCTGACGACTTGGCCAGCTCCTCTGCGAAGTTTGGATACTTTCTCGGGATCCTTCCCATCGCTTCTTCAACTCGCTTTCGGCTAAATTGGTTCCACGCTCGATTCTCCCCGCTAAATAGGCTTGCCACAATGTCGGAGTACTCCGGTGGGAACGTAGAAAAATTTCGGATGCGATCTGCACAAAAAAGGAGAAGTCAGGTAAGAACGATAAGGGAATTTGAAGGGAAACGCAGATTAAATACCCGGATCACTATTCCATCGTCGGCGTAGACCAACAAAAGGATTTTCGAGTGAGAGGTAGTCAGCTCGGACATAAAAGAAGCGTTTCTCCCAGCCTTTGAAATTGCTGACTCGAGTTCCGGGAATGACGTTCTGTTTCTCCCTCATGTTCACGGTGAAGTTGCCGGCGACCCTGGATTTCTTCAATACCGTCATCTCCTCGAAGCACATGACGGGAACCCTTGTACCGACCTCAGACGCTAGGGTCAGTATTCCAACGATGTTACAAATACTGGTCGGAGCGAGCTGAGAGATCGCCAGTTTACGGCGATGAGTGTATTGAGACAAGAGTTCGGGAAGAGGAAACCACAGGCGGCAGCGGGTGAAGTACATCTCATACAAACAGATGTATCCCTTTGGGGGAGTCCACGGGCGTTGAGTCTTATGTGGAATCAGGATACTGACCC